TATCGGCCTGCTGCTTCAAGCTGGCTGGCTGGAAGCCTTCCTCCCCCCCAAAAAACCCCCCCAAAAGGTGTTCCAAAGGGGTGGTCCCCCCCCCCTATTCTGCCACCCTCATTTTGCATTCTTCTGCAAGCACATTGACCTGATTTTCTGGCCCCAGGGCTGCATCTCAATCAGTGTTCCCTCTAAGTTGAGTTAGTGTGAGCTAGCTCACAGGTTTCTAGCCTCTGGCTCACACATTTTTGTCCTAGCTCAGGAAGGAGGGCTCCAGAACAAACTGATTTATGCAGCAGCCGAATTGCTCGTTCACAGCTTTAATGCCAGGAGCTCACAAAGTGGAAACTTTGCTCACAGAACTCCACAGCTTAGAGGGAGCACTGATCTCAATAGGACTGCTGGTCTTCAGCACTCTACAACCTCCACACACACTGCCACGCATGTACCACGAACCCCGTCACACGCTACTTTCCCCCGCCCTTCTGTGGGAGTGGGACAAAGAGACTGAGCTGCTGTTAAATAATCAGTGAGTCCCCTGAAACAGCAGCAGCAGCGGTGTGAAAAGCAGGCAGCTCTGAACCGGCCCGTTGGGCTTCTGTGTCGCTGGCCAGCTGGGCAGGAAGGGTCACTTGCAGCCGCCTCTCTGCCTTTCTGCACTTTCCCAGGCGCATGGAGTGTCAACCTGGGGAAGGCAGTTCAGTTAACCTGAGTGTACAGTAAGCCACACAGATTTGGGGGGTGGGATTTTTCAGTCTGCACAGAATATGACGGGTTCCAGCACACGTCCAAGGTAAAAAGGACCAAGGATCTTGAGGCCCCTCCCTGGGTCCTTTGGCCGCCTGCAGAGGTAGAAGGAAGCATGGCTGATGTTTACTGACATCAGGGCGGTGGCAGCGCAGGCCCCTGACGGCAGCTTGTCCATCGACTGCCCTTTTTATCCCGCCCTCAGCAAAGGCCTGTCAGCTCTGCTCCCGTCACCTTCCTGCTAGCTAATGACCCAGTATCGACAGGATGGTGTCATGACTGATCAGGCATCAGCCCTGTTGCCTAGCAGCACCCCTGGGAAGGCCGCTGTGCCCGCCCTGCTCCCAGGCCTCCAGACAGGCACGGCACTTTCACGGGGCTTGGGGTGCCGGGCGCCAGCAAGCGTGAAGCCATCTGGATAAGTGGGTGAACCATCCATCAGGCCACAATAAGGACACAATAAAACAGTCGCCTGTCTTGTCCGGCACCCCATGTCCGATAGGGAGCAGCCACCAGGAAACCCACGAGCAGGGCGAGATGGAACTGTTTGGCCCCCCACTGCTGAGGGATCCACTGCCCTTGACCACGAACTTCCTAGAGATGCTGGCAGCCAAATTGATGGAGAACAGAGCTCATCCTTTGCAGTGAAGGGCTAGTGTCCCTCACCCGCTCTCAGGCTCCCCTCCCATATTAGATGGGCCAAACGTTCAGAAGACTATCTGGAGTGATAGAGCAGAGATCTGCTCCATTGCATCTGGGTGCATTTCATTTTACTCCTTCTTGTCCTGGGAGCAAAACTCCTCCCTTGAGGGTCACAGTGTGCCTGAAGTACCCAGGGCCGGCTCACTCACTAGGCAGACTAGGCGATCGCCTAGAGCAGGCCGGCCCTTAAGGGCACCAAACTGCACCCGGCCCCGTACTCTGGGAGTTTCTTGATTATTTGTGTTTTTCATTCTTTCTAAAATGCATTTATTTTTTAAAATTGGTGGGCGCACCGGTGGTGGGAGGGCGCCAGAAGGGATCCCCGCCTAGGGTGCAAAATAAGCTGGGGCCGGCCCTGGAAGTACCACGTACCTGAGTGACCTTTTCTGTGACATTCTGGGTACGCTCCGTCACCTTGTGTGGTGCGATGATCTCGATCTCCGTGGTAGAGCCGGAGCGATGTTTTTCCAGGTTGAACTCCACAAAGTTGAGGGTGAACTGTGGGATCTGGCTGATGGTCCTGTACTTCATCAGATCGGAGTCTGATGTGGAATTCTGGCTGGGCTTCAGCTGGGAAGCTTCTGAGGAGGAAGGGAATTAAAATGCCATCAAGTTGGGAGGCCCACAACGTTTGCAATTGAAGAACCCACAGGTGTGCATGGCCTGAAATGACTCACTCGACACTGCAAAGGGACGGGGCAATTGGCCAAGGAGGACTGTCGGGCTTGTTGTAAGTGGGACGGCAGGATTTCAGTTTGGTGCTTGCTGGGGGCATACTTTTGTGGAATGAGGGAATCAAAGGTGGCCCTTCCAAATGAGGCAGGGCACAGCAAAAGGGGCTGGCAGCTCATGACCCCCTTCCGTTCTGAGGACCATGGAGCTTCAAGGGGAAGGGGAATTCCTCCAGTGGGTGAGGCTTGGAAAGAGCTTTGGTCTGTCACTTCTGTTCCCATCGCCCTGACCACTACATGCTGAGCATCCGCAGGCAGCCCCTCGCCAGTTCTGTTCCGATGATCGCCCTGCCCGCTACATGCTGAGCATCTGCAGGCAGCCCCTCCCCTGTGGCGCCTTCTGCAGAGAAAGACGGTTGGTGCCCTCCAGTGCTCATTCGTGATGCTGCAGGCTGGTTCTCAGGCCTTTCGGCACCCCCTCCCCTCCCCACCCCACTCCAGTCAGCACAGAGTGGCAATGATTTTTCTCACCGGGCTTTGGGGGCGGGACAGGGGGTACTGGAGACGAGGGATGAGATTCCAATTGGAAATGTCTCACTGCCCCACTATGTTTCACCCCTTCTCCAAATGGGCCCTGTTTTCCCCTCTCCACTGGGGATGACTTTGTTCCTTCGACTGGGAACAGCCACCCCTGCCCAGGGTGGGCTAGCGGTCGGAGGACTGGGAGGACCTTGAGCTCGTCACATCATCGACCTCCCAACTCTGGTGAGGCTAAAGATGAAGGAACGAGGTAAGCTGCTCTGGGTCCCCACCGGGGTACAAATGAGGCAAATAAACAAACCAATTCATCCCAACTCATCTTCAGCAAAGCTTTTCCCGAATGACTCCAGAGTCGCCCCCTTCCCCTCACCACGGTCCCCTGACTCCTCCTTTGCAGTAGTATGTCCGAAAAGGATCTAGGGGTCTTAGTAGACCATACACTGAACATGAGTCAGCAGCAAGATGCAATTTGGGGTCAGGAAGCAACCTTCTGGGTGTGGAACAGTGGCCACTGGCGGATGTGGAGGGGGGAGGTATTTGTGAATTTCCTGCCTTGTGCAGGGGGTTGGACTAGATGACCCTGGAGATCCCTTCCAATTCTGTGTTTCTATGATTGCTCAAAATAAAAGGCCAGTCCACACTTTAAACCATATGCATTACAAGTTCTGGAGAAAATCCAGACATTTCGTTTGCCCGACGTTCCCCCAAGGCCGCCCTGTGTCTCTCCCCCCCCCACCCCTGACCGCTGTAACTCCCATCTGCTGCGGCGGCCCTGGCTGGAGAGCGCTCTGCCACCTTGGGCCTCTCACCTGTTCGCCATCCTTGGGACAGACGGTGGTGCAGGCTCTGTCGGGTACTTCTGGCAATCAGAGCGGCCAGATCCTCAAAGTTCAAGATGAACATGATGACAGCACCGTCCTCGTTTTTCACTGGGACGACGTCCACCAGACACCGGATACACGATGCTGTCATGAAAAAGGAGAGAGAGAGAGAGAAATGAATGAGGAGAAATGAGCCCAACAGTAAATAAAGAACTGTCAACGCCCGTGTCCTCCTGTGCTGGGACTTCCCCTGAAGTGACTGTGATTTTAATGTGCCCTTTGATAACCTCCGAGCTGAGTGCTTAGTTCTTGTGGCCCTTTTTTACATGCCCAGGGAAATGCTGATTGCCACTTTGGGGTCAGGAAGCAACCTTCTGGGTGTAGAACAGAAGCCACTGCAGGTGTGGAGGGGGGAGGTATTTGTGGATTTCCTGCCTTGTGCAGGGGGTTGGACTAGATGACCCTGGAGGTCCCTTCCAATTCTATGTTTCTATGATTGCTCAAATTAAAAGGCCAGTCCACACTTTAAACCATATGCATTACAAGTTCTGGAGAAAAACCGGACATTTCATTTGCCCAGGCCGCCCTGTGTCTCTCTCCCACCACCCCTGACCGCTGTAACGCCCATCTGCTGTGGCTGCCCTGGCTGGAGAGCGCTGTGCCACCTTGGGCCTCTCACCTGTTCGCCATCCTTGGGACAGACGGTGGTGCAGGCTCTGTCGGGTACTTCTGGCAATCAGAGCGGCCAGATCCTCAAAGTTCAAGATGAACATGATGACAGCACCGTCCTCGTTTTTCACTGGGACGACGTCCACCAGACACCGGATACACGATGCTGTCATGAAAAAGGAGAGAGAGAGAGAGAAATGAATGAGGAGAAATGAGCCCAATGAAACGGAGATGAGCACCGCAACCCTAGAGTCAGACTCAACTGGCTTTCGAGCAAGGGAACCTTTACCTTTTACCTTGATAACCTCACCATGTGGCCATAATAGATGAGGGAAGGATAGCGGGGTAGGGTTCTCCCCAGCTGCCAGGCCCTATTGAGGAGCTCTTCTGAATGTCTCCCTGTGTAATGAAATGAGCATTGCTGCAGCTTCTGAGCAATTTCCGCTTCTATGGCTTCCATGCCCCATTCGAGGTACTAGAGTTAATTATAATGTTTGTGTATGACATCAGCCGGATTGCCACTGTACAGTGACCAGGTGGCAAGCAGGTACTTTCTGCTCTTTAGTCAAACTTCTGAACCACACCTGGGAAATGCCTGGAGGTTTTTTGGGGGGGGAGGTAAAGCCTAAGCTGCAGTGGCTCAAGGGGTTAAGACTCTGAACTGCAGGCTGTGGAAGGTCGGTCGTTCAGCAGTTCGAGACCCGAGTGTGCCGCATGACGGAGTGAGCTCCCGTCTCTAGTTCCAGCTCCTGCCAACCTAGCAGTTCGAATGCAAGAAATTGCAAGTAGATAAATAGGTACCGCTCCAGTGGGAAGGTAACAGCGTTCCGTGCGCCTTGGTGTTTAGTCATGCCAGCCACATGACCACGGAAACATCTTCGGACAGCGCTGGCTCATCGGCTTTGAAACGGAGATGAGCACCGCAACCCTAGAGTTGGACTCGACTGGCCTTCGAGCAAGGGAACCTTTACCTTTAAAGCCTAAGGAAGGTGGGTTTTGGGGAGGGTCTTTAACAGGGCACAACGCCATAGAGTCCACCCCCTGAAGCAGCCGTTTTTCTCCAGGGGAGCTGATCTCTTGTCACCTGGAGACCAGTTGTAATAGTGGGGGATCTCCAGCCACCACCTGGAAGTTGGCAACCCTAATTCACACCATCATGACGCTTCTTGCTGGGAATGCAGCTGAGTTCTTCGGGTGGGGTGGACATGACACTGACATTAGGGTACAATTTAACTTTCGGGCCAGCTGCTTCTTCCAGCCCCTTTTTATGCTGTTGAGTCACCTGAGTTCTTCTGGTGTATTATGCCGTCTTCTCATATTTAGGTCTAGTTTCTAGACCAGCTTTTCCACAAGAATGCAACCTGAGCTACTGTGATGTACCTTTAGTCCGGAGTCAGTAAATGCTGCAGTTCCATCCCAGTATTCCCCACCACCTCAAGGTAGCAGAGAAGGACTTTGAGATGAAATCTTTCTTGGTAGAGGCCCAATGAGAAGTGAGGTGGAGGGCAGAACCTACTGTGCTCTTAGCTGCTGCGCCCGTCAGGCTCCCTTTGGATTGTCCTCACTGTGAAAACTCTCTCTCTGTTCCCCCAGGAAGGGGGAAAGAGCCACTGGTGTGCATGCGGTGGGTCACTGTCAGGGTGGCACCAGCCAGAGTCAGTCCTCTAGCATGGCCCCCCAGCAGGTAACAATGAGGGACCATGACAGAAAATCACCTTGCCTTGCCCTACTATTGGCTAACTTTTTCTATCTGCCACATTAGACACCTGACCTCCAGTCTGTTGGTCTATCTTCAGTATTGTCACAGACGAAACCTCCTCCTCCGACTCCACTCATACTCATGATCAGTGTGTTTCTACCCACCAGTTATTTAGTGCTTACTTATCAAAATGATGAATTTTGCACTCCCGTGACAAACTCAGAGCCTTGTTTGCAATGGGATTTCTCTGTTCTGTCTAATTGCTTGTAACCACTTGGTATTTGGGCTGTTGGGGGGGGGGGCAGTGAGTGAGTGTATGTGTGGGGGGAAACTGCTTTGCTTCGCTACTTCGCGATTGTTTTCTTAAGGAGCCTCCTGTATGGGAAGAATGTGAATGACCTTGGGCACCTTTCTCTGCTGGCCTGTCTTAGACAATAAAACAGTTAGGTTCGCAGGTGGGGTTGGGGTAGGTGCACACACTGGATTTTAGGCGGGCTGAGTGAATGACTTGATTGGATGGGTCTCTACTTGACACAGCTACGTATCTCAATAAACAAATCTTTAACAGAAGAGTGTTGTTGGGAGTGAGTTCATGCAAGAGTCTGGAGAATTAAATCAATAATGGGTTTAAATGATGGGCAGAAATGTATCAGCTGTATATTAGGGAATTTTTTTTTACAGTAAGAGCTGTTCCTGTTGACAGCAGAGGATAGCATTTACAATAATGGGTTTATATTACAGGCAAAAAGGTACCGGCTAGATATTAGGAAATGTTTCCTTAGAGTAGTTCAGCAGTGCCCTCCCCCCACCTCTGGCCATCTTCAAACAACAGCTGGATGAAGACTCATCAGGGATGCTTTAGGCTGATCCGGCATCGAGCATAGGATTGGACTAGATGGCCTGTATGGCTCCTTCCAACTCTATGAATCTGTGATTCCTTCCCAACTAATCAATAAGGTGACTTATAAATGTGTTACTAATGAAGTTCTCAAATTCTGCTGTAAATACCTGAATCGATGGATCATATTATCCATCGATTTGCTAGAGCAAAGTGTAGAAAAAGACCTGGAAAATATTGGTATTCTTGAATATCCCTGAATACCAGGATCAGTATTGTATTGGTATTCAGGTAAATATTCAGGAAACCCAAATTTATTTGGTTCCATTATACCCTATGGGCATGACTTGGCAAGTGAACTCAGAAGATATTTAAAGTTTGCTGAAAGATCTGTTTAACTTCCATGTGGCCCTGATCCAGGGTTTAGATATCCATCGATGGGGGCCACAGAATTCTACAGGAGAGGCACACTAAGCAGTTAGAAGAGCAGGGTTTTTTTTTAATAATTATATGAATTTTGGCTCCACAAATCCAACATCTAAACTAACCTAAAAAGGAGCTGATAGTATAATTGAGAATAGATATTTTTGAGGAAGCTTGTGGCAAGAAAGGTAGATAGTAAACTAAACCTACAACTCTAAACAAAATATCTGCAATAAAACAAGAATGTATGTGTCAAGAATTCCCAATCCAGGGAATCCTTGGTATGGGGGGAGCGGTAATTCAAACCTATAAAACCACACAGTCAGAAGCCAAGGGGCAAGCTTCTAGCCTTGGGAATCAAGAAAGCCAACCCTGCAAGGTAGGCTACTTGCAGAATGAATTTCAACTAATAATTAACCAGTATGTGGACACTTTAAGGTACTGGGATTACATTGAAGCTTCTGGAGTACAAAACAACCAGGTATAATCAAAGTATTTTTTTATTAAAGAGTGTAAGAATATTTCCAAATAGAAAGACAACCCTGCAAGGTACGTTACCTGCAAAATGAGTTTCCACTAATAGTTATCCAGTAGATAGACGCTTTAAGGTACTGGAATTAGACTGAAGCTTCTGGACTACAGAACAACCAGGTATATTAAAAGTATCTATTTTTTAAAAAATTAATTAAAGAGTGCAAGAACACTTTCCAAAGAACAAAGCAATGAACAGGGGGGAGGGGATCTAAGTTATAAGTTCTAGCTACACATTATACCCTAATTTATAGTCGCCGTGGGTTACTCTGCTCTCCTTGGGTGAAGTCCGGCAGCCCGAGCACACGTCCCGGTCGAGGTCCCGTAGGTCGGGGGAAATGCCGATCAGATGGGTATCCTGCAGCGCGGCACAGAAGCTGCACCACACGATCGCACTAGCAATTGCTCTTTGTGCGCATGTGTTGTTGGGCGCTATTGCGCAACCTGCGGAAACGAACAGCGGCGGGCACCGGATGCCATGGAAGACCACCGGGAACGCGATCAGACGCCTGCCCTTGGCCCGCAGTTTCCGGAAACTAGTACCTCGTAGGTACTAGTTTTTAACTCCGCACCTTCGGCGGGGAGCCACGGGTTCACCATGGGAGCATTGCGCTTCCCAGATGTTGGGGTGAAATCGCGCCCGGAAAATCCGCGGGGCTCCCGTGCCTCTCCCACGGTAACTTTGCTGTGTGACCGGGGCCAATGTTATGTAAATAGGCTATGGTTGGGAGTGGGGTGTGTTTGGGTGTGGGTTTTGCATGCTACTTAAACAGGGCAGTTGCCCTTCAATCTTCAGTCTTGTTCCTGAAATCACTAAATAAAGTAGAGCTGTTCACTGCAATGCGTCTGGAACCCAGTATTTAATACGTTGTGTGTTCATCTAATAATTAACAATTCATCTAATTGTTCAGTGACAAATGATGTGGCTTCTTCTCACATTATTCAAAGGCACCAAGTCAGACGTGTTAACTTTCTCATGACAAACCCCAGATGTTTCCCTTTGCTCTCTTCCTCCATGTCTCAGGCCCAAGTTTTGATATGAAGCCTGAACCAATGTTTTCATGCAAGAACAAGGGATTGAACTGGAGGTCCAGTTCTCCTTGACAGGCTCCACAAATCCAACATATAAACTAACCAAAAAAGGTGGTAATATTATAGTTAGGAATAGGAAGCCGTGGCTGAATGGCTACAGCAAAGCCAGTTGAGACTTAATCCCACTAAGATGGAGGTTCTGTACCTAGGTTGGGGGGGGGGGGATCGGGTCAGGAATCAGGCTGCCCACCTTGGATGGGGCAGAGCAAGGCCAGGGGGGGGCAGTGAAGTCCAATCAGCTTCCATATGCAAAAGACCTTGAAGGTTCCATATGCAACTGACATTCCAACTGCCTTGCGGGGAGGGGGGTGAGTTTGAGGTGTGGAATGCAGTGAAGTCCAATCAGCTTCCATATGCAAAAGACCTTGAAGGTTCCATATGCAACTGACATTCCAACTGCCTTGCGGGGAGGGGGGTGAGTTTGAGGTGTGGAATGCAGTGAAGTCCAATCAGCTTCCATATGCAAAAGACCTTGAAGGTTCCATATGCAACTGACATTCCAACTGCCTTGCGGGGAGGGGGGTGAGTTTGAGGTGTGGAATGCAGTGAAGTCCAATCAGCTTCCATATGCAAAAGACCTTGA